CTCGGACCGACGAACCAATTATAAAATGAACGCGAAATAATTCTTTTCTTACATCGAGACATGTTTGACTAAGATTGTTGTTGTTATTTGGCATCACACTAGTCTGAGTAACTTATTTTTAACCAGTAGGTCCATTTCTAAGGTAAAAATTCACTAATATCATCAAACACCCCACATCAACGGACGAATTTTACAACATGATATATTTTTTTTTAATTTGTAATTTCATAACTGATTGAATTCTAACAACAAAGAAGCTGTTAAAGAATATTATTAAAGTACTTACATTAATGGTGTTGGGAAAGAAAAGATATTAATATATCAGCGGTTTAAACAGAATATAGTAATAAACCTAGAACGCTACCCGAGGGCCGCCCGCGTCCGCCTTTTATAAAAGAAAGTGAAATGATCCGACTCATACTTATTTACCTTAATGAACATTATCAAGCTGAGATTTTTAAAAAGAGGTCAAAAGTTATATTGCCTATTTGTGGATTTTAAAGCCTCCTTTGACTGTGTTGACCGGAGAGCCCTCTACTTCAAACTTTGTAATTTAGGTCCCTCTACCAAATTTATAAATATTTTTAAATCGTTGTGCTCCAACTGTTTATCAGCGGTGCACGGGCGCAATGGAGTTTCGGAGTTTTTTCGGGTAGATTCAGGTGTCAGGCAGGGTTGTTTGCTAAGTCCTCTCTTGTTCTCTCTCTTTCTAGATGACCTTCCCTCTGTACTTGATGATGGCGTTCGCATTGGTGACGTGTCAGTCAGTATACTAATGTACGCAGACGATGTTGTTTTCCTGTCTACAAATCCTTTAACGCTCCAAAAAACTATTGACAAACTGGTGGCTTATTGTGACCTATGGAATCTTTAAATTGTTTAAATAAAACATTAATGTCTAGTTTTTCGTTCGGGCGGTCGCTTGCATCCAATGAAAAGTGGTTTTTTAATGGGAAACCAATAGAGACAGTATCTCAGTATAAGTATTTGAGTGTGTCCTTTACTCCGAGATTATCAATGATCACGAATCTTGATAGGGTCTCCGTAGCTAAACGTGCTATTAATAGAGTTTGGCCTGCTTTCCTTTCCCAGGAACTAATGCCTCTTCCATTTAAGTTCGGTCTCTTTAAGTCTGTTTGTCTTTCCGTAGTCTGTTATGGAGCTCAGGCTTGGGGTTCGCAACGATTGGAAGTTATTGAGAAATTCCAGCGTTTTTTTATTAAAAATTATTTGGTATTCCATCGATAGCTCCAAACCATATGGTTTATCTCGAAACGGAGGTCGATCTACTTGAAGTGTTCACCTTGAAGTTACACTTGATTACTGCCTCAGGATGTTGAGGTTACCTGCTCATAGATTGCCAAGAATCTCTGCCTTGGAAATAATAAAAGCCAAAACTTTCTGGTTTAGGAATTGGATCGATCTGGCTGAGAGATATGATTGTGAATTGACTGTGAAAGACATGTCATTATGGAGTGGCCAGTTGGCCACCTTATTGAGTAAAATGAAATCTTCACACATGAGGAGCTTCAGAAAAAAGCTGTAGTCCCTTCCCGTTTTAACATTATATCCGGAACTTGATCATTGTGCTGGCATATGCATCCTGATTGCGGACCGGTCGTGTGGTCTATCGCTTAGAGAGCTCCGCTGGCTATTTAAATTGAGGTTCGAGTTGCTATTCTTAAATTACACTCCATGGATGGAAAAAGTACTTGAGTATGAGGAAGTGTGTAGAGTGCAAGATGCCCTTGAGTTTCCAGAGGAAAACCAGGAAGATCGGTGGACAACATCCTTCCTCTGAGTGGAGGAAGCGATGGTATCCACTCAACTCTCAACCATCGGCCACTCTCCCTTACTAACACACCTCTCATTTGAGACCATACCACCTTGGGCAGACGGGAATGATATGCACGTGTAATGTACAACATATCATGCCAGAGGTCATATATATCTAAGTACCGTAACGGACTGAGGAAACTATGCTGAAGTAGGACTTGAGAATAAGTATGAAGGGTAAAACCCCGATGCCAGACTTGATCGAAAGCCTGTTCGATATTGAAGAAAACCCTCGAACAGTATTCTTTCTTCTCAAAGAAGGGCGCGATGGGGTCCATAACGCGATGGCACTGTTGAACAGTCGAATGGTGACACATAAATCCAAATAGATGGTCGTATGACTTTTACGCCTTCCAGGAAAACCTATTTCCATTGCCCGTCTTGTCCTGTTAACATGTAAATTAAACAAAAAGTGAGGAATTGTAATAATAATAAATTCAGCATATATGCCATTGTTTTTTTCTACTAAACTGAGCATTGCTGATTGCACGTTAAAGTAATGTAGTAATCTATGAATTTATTGTTAGGCAATTCGATCAATGATGATTATTCTGCTACGCTCTCATAGGATTGCCAGACGGTTTACATTTATCCATTCACCTTCAGGGCCAAAACTAATAGGAAGACCACCCAAGAAAACGCCTTATTTCATTGCCTATCCTTTGCTGGAAAATTTTACACTCGTATCTAAGGAGGTCTGTATTTTTATTTTTTTATTTATTTTGGGTCGAAGCCCTTTTAGTTGCGTCTCCGTGAGTAGTTTTGTTTCCTCGTGTCACTCCTCTCACTGGAGGCGCCAACGCCAACTATCTTGAAAAACAGACAGGTCTGATTAGCCCCAACCATTCCATCCAACTTAACAATACCGACGCCCTTTTGGCCACCCCACGCGTTCAAACTCCGAATGACTTGGTTTATTTGCTAATAATGCCGAGGAGGTTCAGAAAAAAAGGATGAGTGATAAAAAAAAATTGACTTCCCTTTCTCAGAGCGGAGGATCGGATCTCTCCTCTCAATCTCACTCCCTCTCTCTCTCTATCCTCTCTAATATATAATATATTATATCGCTCTACTGTGCTAATTGTTGTTCAACTGTGTGGTATATTTGGACGGGGGTTCTTAAAATTTATTGATTAAAAATATCGCAGGTGGGTTCACCTTTGGGCTTCGGACTTCCTTTGAATATACGTTGCTCGGAGGAAACGCGACCCCCCCCCCAAAGTTTAAAATGCACTTTATTTTATCAGTCGTTGCCGGGTGGAAGAAACTATCGGCAAAGTCCGTTGAATAAATGAATAATGGTGCAAGTGATTGAAGTGGTTGCGCGGTTTGACGTCGTTGAACAATGGGCTCTGTTCTGCTGGCGTCACCTCCGTTCGCCCGGAAGACCACTTGAACACGGAGCCTTCGTTAGCAATATCTTCCCTTGCGCCGCCAGCCCTCTTCACCTGGCCACCCCCAGCCGCCGCCGTCTTGCAAATTAGTACATCTTTCCTCTGAGAAGTACAAAAGGAACTCACAGGCTCGTCCACCTTTTTTCCGTTCGTTATCCGCTCGGAATGGTTTCCTCACGCCTTCGGAGGAATTTTCTCAAAGTCTTCATTATTGCCTTTCATTTACACGAATAACATTGACCGGAATGTAAGCATTTCCTCCTCTACCAGAGGTTTTTATAATTATGCATAGTACTGCACTGTCGACATCGGATTGAGTTCGTCGGCGTGTATAGAGAGAGTGTATAGTTGGGTTTATGCGCACTACTTTTTAATTAATGCCTAATTAACATTAATTAGTGGGCAGTCAACATACAATGGGATAAATAGATAACTTTTAGCAAAGAAGTCCTTGAAGAGCTTGACGAGGAGGTCGTGGGACAATCTCCGCCTTGCGTAGTTGTTGGGATGGGTTATGTGTGATACGCTCTAGATTAGATCCACAAAAAAAACTGGGCACTTAAAACAATGTTGTAAGATGAGCATCGGCGTTGTCAGAAATGCGTGATACAAAATAAAAACCTGAAAGTTAACGGCCGATGAGTTCAATAAGCACAGTAATTGGTTGCTCAAGGTGCGTGTTGTGTAATTAAGTAGGCGCGTAAGAGATAGTAAACAAGAGAGAGTGAGAGTAAAATCAAAGTATCAGATAGAAAGAGAGAAAAAGAAAATCAAAAATCCGGAAAGATGAGAAGAGGAGAAAGTGAGAAAGAGAGAGAAAGTGTGTGTGTGTGTGTGGGCGAGAGAGAGAGAGAGAGAGCGAGAGAGAGAGAGGGATTGAATGAGTGAGAATGAGAGTGAGAGAAAGAGTGTGAGTGATTGAGAGAGTAAATGGGGGAGAGCGTGAGAAAGAAAAAAAAAATATATATATATAGAGAGAGAGAGAGTGAGGGGTGAGGGAGGAGAGAGAGAGAGAGAGGGAGAGGAGAGAGAGAGAAAGAGGAAGNAGTGTGAGTGAGTGAGTGTGTGAGTGAGTGTGTGTGTGTGTGTGTGTGTGTGTGTGTGCGCGCGCGCGCGCGCGTGAGAGAGAGAGAGAGTGAATCAGTGAGTGAGTGAATTGGTGAGAGTAAGAGAACAAAGAGGGAATTGAATTGAATATTTTTTTAGGTTCCAAAATTAGGTCTAAATGGACCTTTTTTATACGCATTTACAAATTTATATGAAGAGAGGTGGAGAGAGAAAGTGAGTCATTGAGTGAGAGTGGTGGAGAGAAGAGTAAACAGTGTACGTGAGAACAGAGCAAAAGGATAAATAATAAATAAACAATATTATGTATTAGAGTCCTAAATAAATCTGTCAAATATGCCCAATCAAAAAATGGAAAAGGTATCTGCCAATTTTTTATTTTTATTTTAGTCGTGTTCAATTGTAAAAATTGTAGTACACCCATTTTGGAACGATTCGTTCCCGTTTAACCCTTTATTAAACGTATAAATCTCTTGAAAGCCGTAACACATTTCGAGGAAAGAACAGCACAAATATTTAACTTTATCTCCATTGTAGAATATGCAAATGGCACCAGCTAATACGCACACTTGAGTCAACCATAAAAGTGAAGAACAAAGAGAAAAATATATACTGACCGGGCTGGCACACATCGGCAGATCATAACATCGTTTTCATCGGTTGAGTATTAACGTGTTTTATATTTTTCATTCCATAGAAATAATCGAATAAGAAGGATTATTTTCACGCCTGGGCAATCCTCGAACTTGAATCTTCTCATGGTTAGAATCAATGCGGAAAATAAAAGAGAAAACATTTTTTTCAATGCAACGAGATTAGTACTTGATAACTATTTTATTCGAGACAAGTATTTGTAATTAACTTAGATCTTTATTATATATTTTAAATATACAATTATATTTGTGTCAGGATTTATAATGACCAATGTGAAAGCGTTCATCTTAACACTCCTCGTCGTCTCAGTTGCTGTGACACTGTGTTCAGGTAAGGACAAAATATATTGAGGATTAAAAATGTATATTTAGTACTTTCATACTCTAAAAAAAAAATCATAATTGATATTTGGAAATTTTCGAGGAAGAACTACTTTCATCTCTTTCGAATTGACGTCCGGACTGAAGACTGATCAATCTTTACCACAAAAAAATGTCGAATCCGTACAATTTTTCCATTTTCTTAGCCACACAACTTACACATACATTTAAGGCAAAAGATGTTTTAAATTAACTCAATAATTTCCAGACAAATTTCATTTTAAAGGTTTATTCACATCGGTTTAAACTGTGATACACTCATATTGATTTAATCCTTGATCAACACCCATTTCGTTAAATTTGTCAATTATACTTAAACCAAACACAATGAGCGATCAATTATTACAACATGACCAAATCGTGAAGAGAAATATATGCTAATATTTGAGGCGGAATAGTAAAATTTTAGATTAATCTTTAAATTCTCAAATTCGCTGACGTTGCGCAAATTAAGTGACGTAAATCGAACGTCATTTTTAAAAATTAGCGCGTTAAAATGTAAAAATTTGTAAAAAAAAAACATCACTTAGTTATTGGGCTGGTGCAAAAATAATGCAGGTTTTGAAAAGATAGTCAAAAGTATTTTTAATTTTTAGAAAATAAAGAAAAATTTATTATAAATATTTTCCATCACAATCCACACAACTTTTCCAGTATGTAATACGCGCTTTTATTCTACTGACATACAAATCTTTATTTAGCCTCACAATAAAGTTTTGGAAGGCGTTTTCGGCATCACCGCGTTTTATCCCTCAAGAAATGAACAAAATGCCTAAAAAAGTGGAAGTCTGTAGGCGAGAGGTCGAGTGAATATGAAGGATGCGGTAAAGTTTAAAGTCCTTAAGTTCCGCAGGATTGGCATTACGACTTGTGGCCTGGCGGTACGTGAAAAAAAATCGGCCCCTTAAAAAGACGTTGCAGTTTACCCTTGCATTTTGTCAATTTCTCATCAGTATTTCTCTGCCGTGATAGTTTCACCATAATTCAAGAAATTACAGTGAACAACTCAGCAGTACACCATCAAACAGTCACCATAACCTTTTTTGGGTGCAGATTTTTAGTTTTGGAAAGTGTTTTGGCCCTTCATCCATTTCCATTTTGTCCAACCACTGACCTGTACGCGTCCTGATATCGTACAGAAGCCATTTGTCATCGCCGGTGATGATTCGATCGAGAAATGGATCATTTTGCTGGCACAACAGAGGAGACGTGCAAATTTCAGAGCGTCGATTTCTTTAGTTTTCTTTTAGTGCGGTACCCACTTGACTAGTTTCTTTACTTTACCAATTTGCTCTACACTCTCTTCCGCCATTTCCCGTGTTGTCTTACGTATGTGTTGTACTTGTTGTTTATGCTGTTGGTCACTATCCTAAACACAATTCTATCAAACACAGACAAACCAACATACATATCCACATCACCTATGCCAAACCAGACCGCTCTCACGATCTCCAAATAATCATTAACTAACAGTCACTATGCAAATTGTTAGGGGTTTTATGGGGTGTGAAAAGCAAATATCAGCTTTGCAATTATTTTCTTATCGTTCTCACGTTTTAAACCTACTAATTTCTATTCTGGTTAATCCAGGAAAGTTATGTTTTATAATATAACGGTAATCAACTCTCTTTCGTCCTTGTTTTCTAACCCCCCTGTACCAGAATACTCGATATTCCTCGGGGTAAATAGGGATATGTCCCTCCATTCACGCTAATAAATTACATTCCCAAATCAGACTTCGTTCACACTACCCCACAGTATTCGATATTCCTCGGGGAAATTGAGGATAAACACTGCTATTCAAGTTAATAAATTATACACCTACACTCAAAATCATTCACAGCGTAGTACTAGATAAACATCGGGGTAATTGAGGATAAGCCATGCCATTCACGCAAATCAATACATTCGTTCCAATAAATAACGCGTGTTACATACATAAAGATTCAAAGAGATATATACACTTAAAAATATTTATGGCGCTGAGATAGTGGATCAGGTAACTGTGCCTGAAGGCCCGCGCACAGTTCATTCGGGATGTCGTATTTCTTTCTTTGCATTTTTATGATGTGCTCTACCGTGATCTGCTCTCCACACAACGGGGATATTATCAGGTTATTGTTTTTATTCAAGTTTTTGAAGATTTTCGATGAACATTTTTGCCAGTTCGAAACGTTGGCTCGATAAAGAAAATATTTTTCTAAAACCTATGTCACACCAGACCGCACTTCTCGATCTCCAAATAATCGTAGTATTCAATAGAAAATTTTCGTTTATAGATACAAAGGAGAAAAATTTTAATTTCGGAAATGAAAATAAAAACTGTTAAGAAATGGCATTAGGATTATACCTGATTACCTCGTGAAATGGTAGGAAATTATACAAAGAACTGGGAAATTTGTTTAAACTGGCAAATCTTGTTTCCATGTTAAATCTTCAATTTTTAATTGAAAACAAATTTCGGCGAATGGTTGAATTTTTTTCCCGCAATCGAAATAATTGTATCGTTATTGTTAGAATTTATTTGCATGGTTTATTTTTGTTAGTAGCTTAACTAATGGGATTAACGCTTGCACCAGAATCTATGCATGAATATGGTATCTGTAATATTTAATTTAATTTTTAAGACAGGGGCGTCGGTGGCCGCAAGGGTTAAGGCGTTGACATGGCGCTCATCACTGTAAGGTAAAGATCCCGAGTTCGAATCCAGCGGCCCTGCAGTCGAACCCGACATACTTACAAATGGGCTTTTTCAAAAAATACAGACATCCCGAGGGTTGATATGACCTCTGCTGTTGCGAACCCTCGTAAAAAAATTAAGAAGCCCAAAAGTTTTTTGTCTGAAGTTTTGTCTTTGTATTCAAGTTCGAATCGACATTTAACAATCTTGATATTCCCTCTTTTTTATTAGATTTTGATAACTGTGTCCTTATTGCGCTGCTAGTATCACCATTCCATCAATACTAGGGTCATGGGTAATGGGGACACCCCAAACCCAACCCCCCCCAAAAAAAAAAATCTGTCCTTACTGATTCTGGATTGTATATAGTATTTCTCCGCTTACCGTTTAGATTTGCTAACTCCGAAATATCTGATCTACCCCATTAGGTTACAATTTACCTGTTGTTTGAACGGTTCATGTTTATTTTTATTATAGAAGTTTTGTGGGTTATTATATGGGTTATTAGAATAACCCATAATAGGGTCGTTAAAACGTTGAAAAATTTTTACTGGAGGACTATGTGTTTGAGATTTATCAAAGTTGTAATTTTTTTTTTTTTATTAAAAGGGTAATTGTATCTTTTGCTATTATGATAATCGTAATAAGAAGATTGAAGAAAGTCAGATCGGAAACAATTTGAGTATTGGGGATTATCCTTTCGAAAGAAATTGTTTTTGCCGTAGGGACTCTTGAATTCGGTGTTGACTATTGAGGATTATAAAATTGTTGTCGTTGTCTTGCTCCTCGCGGTGTTCTTTGGTTATTTTTGAAATAATCCCAATCCCTGCTGATATGATTATGCGGCTTAAATCTCGTTCGAGGATTTGTTGATGTAGATTCTCCCAAAAAATGTACTGAAAAATCTGGGATTTCATTTTTCATATTTGGGTCTTTCGCAACTTGAATGTCTTGATTCAGTGCACGATTAGCAAAAATCATTTCTAAATAAGTTACTTTTTCCCAGGATTCTTTTAGTGTTAGAGTTTATTTCAGAGTGAGAGCTAAAAATTCCTTAGGATTTCCTCCGTTATTGGTTTAGTAATTTGTTTTACTATTCTTTTACTTCTCTTAAAATTTTTACAATTAAAATTTTATCATTTATATTCCCCCGAAAAGTTCCATTGTCTGTGTTCTTAAAAGATATTTAGTGTTAAGAATATGAAATTGTTTTTCTGTGATTTGGTATTGCAATAGACTATACCGTAATAGATCGAATATTTTGGATGTGATACTGCTGCAGAAACAGTTGCTTCCGCCGCACCTGTGCGTAAATCAGCTAATGCTTGTGGTATTGTTGCAAAATCAAAATGGTATCTTTCCGCTAACCTGTCAAAAAGTTTAAAACTTTTTCAGCGTCGTAGAGTTTTTTAATCTATTTTGTACCGAATAGGGTATAACGTTGTTTTTAAATTGCGCTTTTTTTTCTTGATTGCACACACACACACACACACACACACACACACACACACACACACACACNCTTTCTCTCTCTCTCTCTCTCCCACTGTCTTTCTCTTTTCCTTTTTCTTCTTTCTCTCTCTCTCTCTCCCACTGTCTTTCTCTTTTTCTTTTTCTTCTCTCTCTCTCTCTCTCTCTCTCACTGTCTTTCTCTTTTTTTTCTCTCTCTCTCTCTCTCTCGCTCTCTCTCTCCCTCCCTCTCTCTCTCTCTCTCACTCACTCTCTCTCCCTCCCTCCCTCTCTCCATCTATCTATCTAGCCCATTTGACCATTTCACATCGTTGAGTCCTCTGTATAACATAGTAACGTAGAAGAATTGCAGGTATTTTATATAATTAAAAATCTGTTACAGGAGAAAATGCAGATTATCCGGAAAATGATATTTTCGCAGAAGGAAACTCTACAGGTAAATACACTCCAGATAATGTTCAACTATTAACATGAATGGAAATGAATGATAATGTCTTAAATGGAAATGAAATCTTTTTTTTTCTTTTTTTCCAGTTGCTACAATTTTAAAAAGCTGGGATCTCGCTTTTCGCTTGAGCCCCAGTGAGGGTAAGAACATAATATACGTACAATACAGTCAATCTTTGAACTGATACAGTTCGATTTCAGATTATGTATCCTGGGCGGCTTGGGAGACGTCGAAAAACGGATTCTCTTCGTTGCTCAGTAAGCAAATCATCACGTCAGGATATTTTTAAAGGGTTTTTATTATTGTGTAATTTCGTTATTGTTAAAAGATAAATTGTCGGATCACGAGATAAGCGCTACGGTTGACAAGGACTTGCAAAATTTGACAAAATGGAAAGATGCTTTAAGAGACAGTTTCAGCCCTGCGTTCCATACGGACGATAATAATCACAATTTTTCGTTATGCATCACGGACCCTCTTGGTAAAAAGCGTAAGTACAATATTGGATGTGTAACTATTTTGGTATTATGTGGTTTTTATGGTTACGAAAACGAGTAAGTTTCTCTTTTCTCACAGTTTGCACAGAAATAACTACCATTAAGGACAACTACACATTGACCGTCACTACCAAGATAGACGATAAGGTGCAAACCAGCCAAAATATCGAAGGTAATTCTAATTCAACCATTTTTTTACTAAAACAAAAAAATTATTGCATATATTGCTTCACAGTTTTCAACCCTTTGGCGTTCTGTCTCACCGTCCCGGACTTGACAGAGAACAGGTACTGCTTGATGACTTACAATATAAATTACACCAAGGACGACTTCAATGGATGTCTCCGAGTCGATTACCACGTTTGGTACGAACGATTTGATTTTCCGACCGTGTGCGTCACAAAAGAAGATGGGAAGTACAACTATGAGAAGAAGGAACTGCCAGAAAAAGCCAAAAAATCAAAACTCTTCCATGAATCTCCTCTGCCAACATCAAAAAGGCAGTAACTTTTTTTTCTTTCAATTGTAAAAGAACTCTCTTATCATTTTTCTTTCAATGTCAGAGGCTAGATACATACAACAATAAATAAATACTTTTTATTAAAACCATAATATGATTTATGTTAAATTCCTTCATAGCATATCTGTTTACTTTTTCTTCTGTATTAGCCAGCTTTCCGTAGTGATGGAAGGGGATCAGGCTTTATATGAGTATTGTGATCGAATTGGATTGTCTCTTTATGATATTTCGATGATCACGATGAGAAGAATATTAGGCAGAACGGGTTTATTATTCTCCACGTACTGCAGCTTTTTGAATTTTTGCCTAGTTTCTTCGCTGTATTAAGCTATTATTAGCTATTAATATTGGCAGTTTTTTCAACTCATGGCATAACCTCCAACTGAGGTCATTGATGAGTACACCCATTTTTGTAAGGTTTTTTTTACACAGATGCCAGCGTCCGGTATAAAGCCGTTTAACCCGACTTTTATTGCATCTAGTAAGAACAGGAACAAGGGCATTACATTATTAATTTGTTATCGGCAAGCCTGAGTCTCAACAGAACAAAAAAAAACCTTGGAACCTGATACCGATTGAATTTGGTTGATGATGAGAAGGATACTAGGAAGCATGCATTTGGTATCCTCCCCAGTAACACTAGTTTAATTCTCCATCCGCTATTACTTACCACTCAAAGATAGTGGCAGTTTTTTCCTCCATTGAATAACCTTCAAAATGGGGTTACCGTTGAATATACGCATTTGGTTTAGGTGTTTTCTCAGATGATAGTGACCGGTAAAAAGCCGCATCACCCTTAGTTTTACCTTGTTTCGTTTATCTATGTGTTTGCCAGTTTTGATTGTTTGACCATGTGTTTGCTATGTCTGGCACCTCTGGAGTTCGTCCATTTCTCATATTGTTTTATGTCGACCCATTCTGATTTGCCATGTTTCGTTGTAGCTATTTGTTTCCCCGTTTTATTTCTTATCCTTGATTGGCGTGTGGTCGCTGCTGGATAAACTCGTCGGATGTTCGATCTTTAGATAAACGATTTCTTCCCGGCAGAACACTATCAATTTATATAAATAGACCCACCCCAAAGATATAAGAATGCATATTCTAACTGGTCCCATATACAAATTAGTTTATAACGAAAAGTAACAAAAATACCCACAGAAACTAACAATGTGGCAGAATTGTAGTCTGTTTGGCCTGTCCTATCCTCGTTCGTTTGATCTATCAGACCTTTTTTTGGTTCCATTAGACTTTGGTTTTCGGTTGGGCTATCTGTTACTTTATCAACCGTTTTCACCATGCATTCATCGAGTGGATAGTAAATACATTATGCCTTCTTAGCTCCATTGGTTCTGTATTTTTCTGTCAGTCGAGTCTGAGACAGCAAACCAGACCGGGGACGACATATATATACGTCCATCATCCCTTACACAAACAAACTCACAACCTTGAAAAAGCACGGGTATCATTTAGGGTCTATCAACATTAGACTTGCTTAAGTTGTTCAGATCTCCTGGAGGATTGTCAATGTAAAAATTCTAGCTCGACCGCAGTGACACTTGACGGTTGTTCAAGGAAGTCAACCCCTCCTGTATGAGAGAACAAGGCAGTGAAGTTCCTACATACTTTACTTTTGACGCTAATCGTTTACCTTTAACATAAGATCAACTAGAATTCAAACCTGAAACGCTTTTAAGGCTGTACCAAGTTAAGAGAATGTTTAACCATGGAAAAAATCTAGTTTTTTGTTTGTTAATTAGTTCCAGGTGGATTGGCTGAATGTGGAAAGGCTGAGAAATGTACGTTATAGTTTAGGAATTAGGGTTGATTGATGAGAGAAGTGGTCGGCCGAGGTGGGAGGTAGGCCCTGTATGGAGACCCCCCTGTGACAATCATATAGGAACATAGCCACTTGTACCCTCGCCCTTTGTCAGCTACCTTCACAAGTGCACTTGAACCCGCATATATTAATATAGCCATTTGGCCGCCTCCTCGTTACTCAACCCCCCGACCAACCCCTTCTATTGTTCTCTCCCCCCCGTGAACATAATATAAAATAAAACGGTCTTGCTCCTGTTTCATTCTACGCCCACGTTCTTTACCATTAATGCCACGACCCGGAACCAGAAATTTCATTCCGCGTTCACCGCCCAACTCACAAAAGAAAATTGACACGCTTAAATATATTCTTTTAACAACTATGGTTGGATAGACCATCTTCTTCAATAATACAAATTTTTGAAGATTTTCTACTCTATAGAAATGAGATCCATCTACTACTCCTGGGATAGTTTGACAAAATTTCAAGTGCCGATTTTTTATATTATTGTTTGAACAAAATACACGTTGATTTAAAAGTAAAATTAGCCACAATTGTCCATTCCAAGCTTTTTATGTGGGGGCGGACCTGTTTAGGAATAACGCCGTCTCTAGAAAAAAGCAACATGCTAAGAGCTACTATGGTCGGATCTGTGTATGGTTCCTTCACACGGTAGATGAATAACACCCGTACAAAATCCTCATAAGGTCAGACACCCGATCGACCTTAAAATCATTAGCACGTGAAGATATATCTAAACTAGTCGTGGAATACATCCAAAACCAGGGAAAACAACAACAAACGTTAATCTTGGTTGCCACGGTACAAAGAAATTTTGGGTATGAAAAAGCAGACAAACTGGTCAGAAGAGGATCTATAGGACCAACTATGAACCTAGAACCTATAATTGGGATAATAGGAATAAACATAGACTCCTCCATATCTAGAATGCTCCTCACTCGCTTCCTAACGGCGGTGAGGTCCTCACTCTCCACGGCATGCGCCCATATAGACAGAGAGGGCAGCTTTTTAGCCACTCGGCCAACGAATCCGGCTTTTGATCAAAATACAATCAAAATACGGTGACGAGTGATTTAAGATGACGGTATACGAAATGAACCCAGTTGGGGGTGGGTGACCTGCATCAAAGGTGCAAAAACCGGCGAACACAGGAAAGAGGTTTTGTTTAAGTTAAAATCAAATAGGGGGAGAAGTACAAATGAACTTTACCCCCTTTGTTCCACTCATTCAGGAGGGTTTGATGTCCTTGGGCAAGGGCAACGAGGCTATCATGGTTACGGCTGTGGTACAGGCATAGGAGAATAAAGAACGCTCTACTATATAACTTGACCATGATAGCTGGGGTTTTTAATCTAATATTTTTCCCTTAATAGAAAAATAATGTGATGTAATTATTAATAATTTAGTTACATGTTAACCAGCTGGAGGCAAGTGTAGCTAGACAGATACTCCACTGTATTTAATGTATATAGTTCTAAATTAAACTTTCTGTTCTGATGCCCTTGAACAACCGTCAACGAGGATGATCAGAGACAATCAAACTATAATTTTCTGTGGTAATGAATCACTTGAAAGTATAACGTAATCGATTAATGTAAAAAGTAAAGTACAAAGGAACTTTACCCCCTCGTTCCACTCATACAGGAGGGCTTGACGTCCTTGAACAACCATCGGGTGTCACGCACTACGGTCAAGCCGCATTTTGCCCATTACAAGTACACCTAGTGACCACAGTCCACTTCAACCTAAACAGGTGCGTACCGCGCTTTTTGAAGGTTGTATCGTTTCTGTTGATTCTGGTCTGCCTTAGTCTATCAATAAAACAGAGACCAATAGAACCAATATTAAGGAATATAGCAAAAACGCGTCTGACCGAGCAAACAAGCGATGATAAGGTCCAGTGACCAAGATGATCGGTGACGAACAAACTTTTCAAAACAAATTTTCTATATGCCACATTCCTTATTTCTGTAGGCGATGTTTGTTTTTTCTATGTGGTGGTACCTTACATTCACAGGCACTTAGATTCGATCTATCATCTTAAAAAATGTGAAGCCTCCAATATCAATCCTAAACTAGTTCATGAACTGTTTTGTGATCTGTTAAACAACTAAAAAGGGGCTGTCCCAAGTATTCTTTTATTGCTCAAAGACAAGATACACTGAGCTTGTCAATAATTTAGACATCATTAGCCCGTCTATCCAATGTTTGGATGGGTGGTCAAACATGTTAGTTCTAGCTGAAAATTAACAGACAGGCCGACCTCAAAACGACCAAACTACATCTGAAAAGCTTTAAAAATATATTTAGCCAATACTAGTCTATTATCGATATGGATGTTTGGTCAAACCTGTGTCAGTACAGACAAACGGATCGTAATGTAAAAAAAAACAACAACATAAACATGTGTGACAGAGCAAACCAGCGATAATATGCCAGGATGACCAGAGTCGACCAAACTACATTTTTGTAGTTGACAATTGTCTCATCTCTGAAGGCCACATTGTTTTTCCAATGTCGCGGTATCGTAGAGCTAAGGCTTCACAGATCTACTCCTAGACTTGCTTCATGAGAAGTTCATGAGCTGTTTAGTTACCTGTTAATTTATTAAAAAAAGAACTCCTGCAAATACTATTTTGTTGGTAGAAACAAAAATCACTGGTCTTTAAGACTAAATATGGTCAACGTTGGTTTATGAATCCATTGCGGATATTTGGACGAAAGCTGCGTTCTATAAGCTGCTATAGTCTCATTAATGTGGTTCAGCAACTACTGAAAATTTCAAAGTAAGCAAGGTCGGGGACGATTAACAAAAAGATTGTGAGACACAAAGAACAATAGTAATAATAAAAAAATAGTTTGCATGGATTTTAAAGTTATGTGGATAAATCAACACATGCTAGCGAAGGTCTGGTCTGGTTTCTGGTTCAAAATTGGACTTGAACACAAACTTTAACACTTATCTTTATAATTCGGTAAAATTATTATCAACACGTCAAATAGATAGGCCAGCCGCCAATTATAATTCACATTCTAAACAAGACGGTGCACTATAAAATAATAATGGGAAAAAAGATTCCATTGAACTGTGATATGAAGGGGTGTTGTTTAATCGCTCTGGAAAAAATAAGGCTTTTATTTGGATGAGAATTCCCGCGGGCACATTGCCATTTACCTCTTTCCCCGCCTCCCAGAACTGTACCAGCTT